GATTTTAACAAGTTGGAGTGTCCGAGTTTAAATTTAAGTTATTTAAGATTGATAGGTGACCTTTTTGTGTAAAAGTAAATTGGAAAAAAATTCATTTATCACAGACAAGTTGTTTTTGTGTTTTTGTTTTGTTTGTTTTTTTGTGGAGGGGGTGTATGGGCACCAAGACTGGACGAGTTTGAAACATTTGACAAATAAAACAAAACTTTTGTTGAATTTGTTCTGAAACTACGTGACGTCACGATGTAGCGCCAAACTTAAATTCAAAATTTCACCATTATCGTGTTCAATGTTGAATTCTGCTTAAGCCGGTGCTAGGGGGCGTGGACGATAACTTGCACTTTCCAGTACCGTCCATGAACAGGCTCAATCAAACCGAGCCTGCAACATTTTCAATTTTGTTGTGTTGGAATTTCTTTAGGGATTCTGTTTAACTCTATATTGACTCTAGGTCAAATACTTTTTTTAGTTACGTGCGACACAAGTTAAAAATTGGAAATTTTTACTACGTCAAGGGCAATAACTCTAAAAATACTTAAAATATCCACACGAAAATACCCAGTTGCACAAAGTTCTACACATGCTGATCAACATTCCTGTAAGGTTTCATGACTCTAGGTCAAATATTTTTTGAGTTATGTGCGACACAAGTTGAAAATTGCAAATTTTTACTAAGTCAAGGGCAGTAACTCTAAAGATACTATATATATATATATCCACATGGAAATACCCAGGTGCACAACTTCATATGTTGATCAAAATTCCTGTAAGGTTTCATGACTCTAGGTCACTTTATTTTTGAGCTACGTGCGACACAAAAAGGGAACTGACGGATGAACGGACAAGGGTAAATCTTAATGCCCCCCCCCCCCATCCGCTATAGTGGGGGCACAATAAAATAAACGGAAAGAAAAAATTATACGTTTTCAACAATCGCAACTTTTCGGCCCTTTTCGTCAGTCTTCGGATATTATAAATAATAGCCAAGGACGTTCCGATTGAGTTTTCTGCAAAGGGGAGACTTAAAGACTGTTTTATTCAACCGACTGGAACAACTGGAACGTTTCTTTTGGAAAAATCGCAGCGAAAACAAATTTTACCACCAAACTTATTGTCCAACTATATATTTTATGGAAATAGATATTAATACTCCGTAAATTTTGGTACAATAATTCTCGGTATTTCGTTCAAATGCTTTGTAATTACATTACAATGCATTTTGAACTCAAACCATGTATTATTCTACAACAATCTGACTTAAGTTTAGATCTACTTATTTCTTTTATGTAGAATATGTTTCGCCTTCTTTATATTTCGGATGTCCCTGGAAAGCTAATTTTAGCCATGCCATCAGAATCCGGGTCAGCTCGGCCCTAAAACGTACTCGGCCCCCGAGTCAGCTCGGCCCGATTCCAACTCGGCACGGGTCAACTCGGCCCACTTTTTAATTATTAATATTTAGGTTTGTGTTTTCACTTTTTATAGTCATTATTGTAATTATTGATAAAACACGGATTGACAGTTTTAGAACTACATGTAGCAGCAGACAGGCTTTCCTTATGGAACGCCGGGACTGTCTTATGCTATCAATATTTTTGCTATCTTCTGAAATGATGATATTATTTTGTCATTAAAGCATATTAACATGTGCAATGTACATCATAATTTGTCTACAGACAATGCTGACTTGTTCAAACAGCATGTTAACTTGTCAAATAATCATTATGACATGTGCAGACAACATGTTAACATGATAAGATAGTTCTTATTATTCTTTTACCTTAACAACATGCAAAGCAAAGTTAATACGTTATATATATATATGTAAAGTGGGCCGAGTTGACCCGTGCCGAGTTGACCCGTGCCGAGTTGGTATCAAACTGGTTTTTACGTAGGCATTAGAAGAAATATCAAAATACCTGTTATGCAGTATTCAGATGCGCTCCTTTTGGGGATATGCTGGATGAGTGATAAATGAAAACCCAAGTGTATATAACAATTAATTATAAATAATTATAATAATTATTCAGTAATTGTAATATTTAAATTAACAAATACATGATATGGGGAATTTAACAATAACTCGAAGAATTGTTAAGAAATGACTGAGAAATGAATTAAATATTTGCACCAGTATCTAACAGACGTTAAATTTTCTGTTTTTGGAAGGAGAGAAGTATCGATTAGCAGATTCATTTCTTTTCCAAAGAGCGAGTAAAATTGTTAGAATTGTGTCGATTGTGTTGATGGTGATATTCGTATTGCAGGCAGAATGGAAGGCCACTTCTCTTGCTCCTGATTTATGTAAGCCCTTAATTAGGATCTGTTCCAGAGTAATATTCAGCCGCTCACAGGATGAATTGGTATGTGGATTATAATCACTGGTGTGATGTCGAGTTATATAAAACATCTCATAAATAAATGACAATGTTAAAAGAAAATATAATAAAAAATCATTTGATGGTCAAGGTCATTTAAAGGTCAAATTCATATCTGAATTATCCACATGTCTGTTTGGTCACAAGTGTTATTTTGTCACGTACATCATATGAATCAAATCTATACATAAATGACAAAATTATGACAACTTTACCAAAATTCATTACTTTGACCTTGACAGTCAAAGTCATTTAGAGCTTAAGATCAAGGTCAGTTCACCCTTTAAAGCTGTCTTGTCCAAAAGGTTGTTTTATCCAAGTATGAAAAAAGTCTGTTGATTAATAACAAAGTTACAGCCAATTATAGCAATAATCAGTGAAAATAAAACAATTTGACCGTCAATGTCATACATGATCCAAGGTCAATTTGAGCATGATATACATGAAGGTCATGACGTTAAAGATGTTTTGTCTCAATATGAAGTTAATCCATTGATAAATAACAAAGTGGATTTATTTCCGAGTGCTTTATTTCTGATGCACTTTCCTCGCTTCAATGTGCTAGCTCTGCCATTAGTTCACTTTGTCAAAGAAAAAAGAGCTAATTGTACAGTCATGCTGTTGTTGACGTTGACATTGCCGTTGGATGCTATGACCTCAAATAATTCACAAATATCTCTGAAAAGCTAACATCTTTCTTTATGACCTTTCATTGAAATAATACGGAGAAAAAACCCATGACCTCCTGGGACAGGGCCAATTTGACTAAAAAGCTGAAATTTGAATAACCTTAAAAGAGGTTCACTTGAAAGAGTTTATGCTAAATATCTAAGCACAAGCCCTTCTACCTCTGAAGAAAGATTTTAAAAAAAATTTAAATATACATATATTACCACCAAGGCGAGGAAAATTTGACCAATAGCTATAGTTTGCAGAGATCCACTAGACAAACCTTGCGCAAAATATCTATTCTCTATGCCTTGTGCGTCTTTAGAAGATCTTTTTTTCTTCTTGCAATTCCATTTGGCTGCCATGGCAACCAGATGTCTGCATGGAATCAAATTCTGTGGAATTCTGGAAGCCTTTCACCCAAGGAACAGTCATGGCAAGTTTTGTTGAAATTAAACTAATTGTTTTAGGGTGCTGCGCTGGCATAAAAAGTATAGCGCAGCAGTGGCTCTTGTTTTGATCTTGTGCTGATTGAAAGTACATGAAATATCGACTACTTAAGTGTGTATGTGTATATATACATGACAATTATAATCTGTGCAAATAAGTAAATCAGCAAATTTTATGTGTAATAATGCCAAAATCAGTCAGAAATTTTAGTTCACTGTCTATTGTTGTGATTATTATTATTTTATCACAATTGACATATAACTGATGTGCCTTAAATAATAAACGATTTGAGATTTCTTCCAATGTTCATATGTTTCATTTTATTAATCCAAACCCTTTCCAAAGTGGTTATTATATTCCTATTATCACATACATGTAAGAACACTAGCAGACTAACAAGAGGTGACAATGTAAAATGGAAATAGATTAGTTATTCATTCATAAAATCAAACGTAAAAAGTTTTAAAAATAATCAACACAAACAGCTGACAAATAAATAACAACACATAAGGTAATAAGATCTTTTATATTTTCTTTTCGAAAGAATAAACATACAGTACTGTTGAACAAATGCTATTTATACATATGAAAGTCTCAACTAAAGCACAAAAATACAAAACCCACTGTTATAATATAAGTGTAAGCAGCTTGTACAATGAAAATGGCAAAATGATTTTTGTGACAGAAAACAAATATAACTTAAAGTTACCAATGTACCATAAACAATACGCTATATGTACTTACATCTGGTACTCACATTTTCACCTAATTTTTCAAGCAACAATTATTTTTTTGTACATTTAGAATAATTAACGGAACTAGGCAAACAAGTGGCATAGACTACTTCATATATAAGAATGAGACATTTTTAACCTTTTTTCTTCTCAAAAAAAGTGTCTATAAAAATTATTGATACACCAACATGTGTTAACATATATCACACTTACACATGTAAGCAATTCTTTCACGTCTCACTCAAAATAATTATTTTACTTTTTAATTGTATGTGATAATAAAACATTTCATACAATCATTCAAGCTTTTATGTTTAAGTCTACAGAATACATGTAAGTACATATTCAAGTTTACATGATGTTACTTTCTGCTTTATCAAACAGATTGTAAGGTACAAGTATGTTGCCATAGTTAAGCGATACTACATTATTTCATGTACTAACATGTACTCACTGTCACACACAGAAATATCCCTATAAGAATCACAGATAAACAAACGTTGTCACAAACATAGACATTTCAAACATGTATGAATCCCAGTAAGTAATTTTACACATAAACAAAAAGTAATATTTGCATCTACCATAAGTAATCTAAAATGAAATAGTTTTGTGGTGAAATCTACCCCCCACCCATCCTCCAAAATTGAAAATTGTTGCAATGCTTTTCACATAAATCAACCATAGAATAGCGCAAAATATGATATTCAATTTATTTCTGAGTATATTTCTTAATTATCTTCAGCTTTTTTTTCTGTTTTAAGTGCCCAAGATGATCTAGGTCAGAAATTCAAATATTATTTTTTAAGGCATTTGGGCCTCAGTGGAGTTCCTTTAAGTCAATAATGATTGGTCATTATGAAAGTTTAGAAAATATACTTGACCATCTACAACTACTGGTACTCTTAATTTTACTATTCATTGATTTAAATGACTTATGGTAGGTACAGAAAGTACTTTTTGACTCCAGATAGCTTATTACCCTAGATTAACACCATTATCTCTCTCCACAGCACATTGACAAATAAATAAATAAAATCAGCGCAAATATATACATTTCTTGTCTTTCTATAACAAAAGAAATTTTCTGAAATAGTTCTTTGGTCATAGATTACGTACATGAAACTGTAAGTAAACTGTTTTTCCTTATTAACTTGCAGTCAAATATAACTTCATGTTGATAATATTTGAATAAATTATAAATACTGTTTTAAACTAAACAGTATTTTGCTTACAACAAAAATGATCAATACTATAAAGTTGTCTCTTTTACTAATATGGATATTATAAAACAAAAATCTTATCTAAGATATAAACTTTTTATACTATCATAATGTCCTCTTACAATACACAAATCAACTAATTTATGGACACTAAAACAGTTCTCAGTATTCAAAAATGTTCCACAGTTCGGACAGTACAGTAATATATATAACATAAAAGTAGCAACTATTCGAACCAACTGTCTATATACTATACATTATTTATCACTGTGACAAAATACAGACGCGATTGGCTAAACACATTGTTTCTAGGAAACTGTATATTGTCTATAGCAACTATTTAAAAGTAAACATCAGTGTTTCTATGAAACCAAAGTCTTCTATGAAACCAAAGTCTATCACTTGAAGACACAAAATAGCAACTATTGAAATAACTCAAAATGCCCGTCCGATATCTAACCGTCCACTTTTCTGAACTGGGTCCTGGATTTCACATTGTTAGTTAAAACCTTATCACACTTTCTTTTATAATTTCATCCCCGTAACAAACTGAAACATTTTATAAATTGGAAAATCTAGAATTCCCGAGTCAAGTCATGCTAACCATTTATTTCAATACTTATTTTGTCTTTTGTTTATCACTATCTATAGAAAGGATTCAAGAACATGAACATTTTCTATGTTTATTTTTTCATGGTTTCATGTCATGTATGGTTCGTGTGCGTGGTATGAAGTCATTGGCGGGAAAGACATTGCAGCAGGTGATACGGGGGTCTGATACTGTGGTTGTGAATATATTTGTACAAGCTCGGCAACAATGTTACAAATTTCTGTGAAATTTGGACGGTCTTTTGGGCATTCAGCCGTACACTTGCGAACAAGATCTATCATTTCACTTGGACAATGTTCCGAAAACTCTAAAATTACATCACCAGCTTTGAGACCCTTTAGAAGTTCATCATCATTGCGATTTTTATGCGGAATATCCGCTAAATGTAACACTTCCCACATAAACACACCGTACGCCCAAACGTCACTTTTTGTAGAATAGTCTGCTTCCAGAACTGCTTCTGGTGATAACCATCTTAATGGAAGAGCAGTCTGGTTGTTTATAATCACATATTCATTGACATACAGATCTCGTGAAAGGGCCATGTGAGATATTTTTAACTCAAGACGTGATGTGAGAAGAACATTCCTTGTTGCGAGATCTCTGTGAACATATCTATTATTAGACATGTGCTCCATTCCGAGGGCAACCTGATTGCACATTCCAATTTTCTGAAGAATAGTCAGTGGAGGGATTCTTCTCCGACCAGTGTTGTCAACCCTGGATGCTAATAAGAACTGTTTCAAATCACCCTGAAAGAATACAATTTTTATGTATAACAATTCTGGTACAAAACAAAAATGTTCAGTCATCAGCTAACTTATATATGAAATTCTGTTGAAGCTAAAGCAAAATAATACTTAAAATGTTATCTGCCTCTTCATTCAGTGTTATTCTCAACAACGTTTCCTCACATTACACCGGAACTAGGTGATAAAATTTAACAAACAAGCTTACATAATCAAGTTTTAAATTATATTATTTGATATCATAGGGAAAAAAAAACACCTGAATTTTATCATATTTAGCATAGGAAAAATCATAAATTTTATCATATTTAGCATAGGAAAAATCATAAATTTTATCATATTTAGCATAGGAAAAATCATAAATCTTATCATATTTAGCAAAGGAAAAAACATAAATTTTATCATATTAAGCATAGGGAAAATCATAAATTTTATCATATTTAGCATAGGAAAAATCATAAATCTTATCATATTAAGCAAAGGAAAAAACATAAATTTTATCATATTAAGCAAAGGAAAAAACATAAATTTTATCATATTAAGCATAGGAAAAATCATAAATTTTATCATATTTAGCATCGGAAAAATCATAAATTTTATCATATTTAGCATAGGAAAAATCATAAATCTTATCATATTTAGCAAAGGAAAAAACATAAATTTTATCATATTAAGCATAGGGAAAATCATAAATTTTATAATATTTAGCATAGGAAAAATCATAAATCTTATCATATTTAGCAAAGGAAAAAACATAAATTTTATCATATTAAGCAAAGGAAAAAACATAAATTTTATCATATTAAGCATAGGGAAAAGGCAAAAAACGTTATCATATTTAGAGAGAAGGAAAAACCAAATATTTTAGCACATTTAGCATAGAAAACCCCATAGATTTAATTAATGAACAGTGAAAAAGAAATTAAAACATTTAAGTCTCCAAACATAAATTCATAAACATGACCACAATAAAAGAATCAATAATTTTTCGGAAAATTGAATAAAAATCTTAAAATAAAACCTACCCAGTCACAGTACTCTGCTATATAAAAATAAGGTTCAATCTCCTTGCAGACGCCCAGCAGTTTTATGACATTATTCTGATCTAGTTTAGAATACATTTCCATTTCTCTTTGAAACTCATAATAATGTTGGTCCTCTTTTGTCAGCAGTGACTTTACTACAACCTGCGTTTCTATTTCTCCGGGACGTATACCACGGGCCTTGGCCAGAAATATATCGCCATACTGGCTTTTACCTGTAAAATCAATGCATAAGTATTGAGCGCCTTATATCAAACGTATTTCAATCAAAATCTGATTAAATATTTCTTTCATATACCGTTTTTGTTCCTGCAGACGTAAAGTTTTAGGGAGGCTAATTCAACAAGAATTTTTTTCTTCTTAAAGCTCCATGCATGCAGATGAGCAAAAATATTTCAAGAAAATCAAACTTGAAATATTAGTACTATGATTTTAAGAAATATAAAATATTTCAAATTCAACTAATAATTTACAATAATTTACATGTATATGCAGTTAATGAATGATTTTGCAGTATTTATCGCAATATTTCTACAGCATGACTGACACAGTTATGACTATATTTGCATATTTTAACCTCTGTTTTGGTTATTCACGTCAACTGTAAATGCCGTTTGAATGTGAAAGTTATTTTCAATGTTTACTTCAAAATATTTTACTATTACATTTTAAAAATTTTACTGAAAATTAGCATGAACCTGGAGGCATACTGCTTTAATAGGAAAACTTTTTTTCTATTCTTTATGATATACAACATACAAGTTGTGAAAAATTATATAGGCACATGTATTACATTTAATCATTTATTGATAACCATTCAAAATTTAGGACACAAAGGTTGCACCTATTTATAAAAGAAAAGTGGAAAAATTTTGCACCATATTAAAAATATTTAATTAGAATTACCTAAAATTCCTAGAGACTGTAACTCGTGTCTTGGAAAGAAGAACCTATCCAGACTTGTTTTTCCAGCACTTCTCTGTGACTGCTGCGATAAATTCTGTGACTGTGTGTGTGAATTAGAGTGCGAGTTTGAGTGTGACGAATGTGACGGGTGTGAGCTGAGAGCAGATACATGTGATCGATTATCGCTGTCACTACGGCAACCGTGAGTTCCTCCAGATTCACGGTCACCTTCTTTCATCAGTAGTTCATGTTGTTCTGATTGAGGTACACCGCCATTTTGTTTCTCGCCATTTACTGAAAATAGCAACCACAAACATGTTTATAAAATCTTGGAATATCATCTTATGAAACCCTACATGCTGAAGAATTATTAAACTAGAAATGTGTCATCATGCCACGGATGCCCCCGCATGCAGCCAAAATTTCAAATGTTATAATATTTAGTTCCAAATTTGTTTGCACAAATTATTTTTTTCATTCTAAGTTCAAAGCCCTTAAAACTTTTCAATGTTAACACAAACCATTTTTATACAATGTTCAAGGCACTGAAATTATTCAGTCTTAACCATTTTTATACAATGTTCAAGGCACTGAAATTATTCAGTCTTAACCTTTTAAAAATAGCATATTGCATATTTGTAGCCAACATAATGGCTATATACATTTCCACAAAAGTATGAGTGCTGAACTGAAAGTTCAAAATTTTTCCAACATTCAGGAAAGATAAGTTTGTCTAAAATCATTGAACCACGACCAAATTCAAACTTAAACTGCTTATTCCTAAGATGTATCTATATTATTTTCAAAGTGAAAGGGACATAACTCTGCCAAAAAATCATCGAACCATGACCAAATTCCAACTTGACCTGCGCATTCCTTTGACATATCCATATGTCAATTTTGAGTTGAATATGTAACACTGTTGGGTTGATAATGAACAGAAACTGTAAATTTCATATCATTTTCAAAGTGAAAGGGGCATTACTCTGCCAAAAATCATCGAACCATGACCAGATTCGAACTTGGCCTGGGCATTCCAAAAACATATCCATATGTCAAATTTGAGTTGAATGTGTAATATTGTTGGGGAGATAATAAACGGAAACTGAAAATTTCATATTATTTTTAAAGTGAAAGGGGCATAACTCTGCCAAAAATCATCGAACCATGACCAAATTCCAACTTGACCTGCGCATTCCTTTGACGTATCAATATGTCAAATTTGAGTTGAATGTTTAATACTTTTGGGGAGATAATAAACAGAAACTGAAAATTTCATATTATTTTCAAAGTAAAAGGGGCATAACTCTGCAAAAAAACATCGAACCTTGACCAAATATGAACTTGGCCTGCGCATTCCTTTGACGTATCGATATGTCAAGTTTGAGCTAAATGTGTTGTACGATTGGGGAGATAATGAACGGAAACTGAAAATTTCATATTATTTTCAAAGTGAAAGGGGCATAACTCTGCTAAAAATCATTGAACCATGACCAAATTTGAACTTGACCTGCGCATTCCTTTGACGTATCCATATGTCAAGTTTGAGTTGAATGTGTTGTACCATTGGGGAGTTAATGAATGGAAACTGAAAATTTCATATTATTTTCAAAGTAAAAGGGGCATAACTCTGCCAAAAATCATCGAACCATGACCAAATTTGAACTTGACCTGTATTTTCTCATGACATATCAATATGTCAAGTTTGAGTTGAATGTGTTGTACCGTTGGGGAGATAATGAACGGAAACTGAAAATTTCATATTATTTTCAAAGTAAAACGGGCATAACTCTGCCAAAAATCATCGAACCATGACCAATTTCGAACTTGACCTGTATTTTCTCATGACATATCCATATGTTTATTTTGAATTGAATGTTTTGAACCGTTTGGGAGATAATGAACGGAAACTGAAAATTTCATATTATTTTCAATGTAAAAGGGGCATAACTCTGCCAAAAATCATCGAACCATGACCAATTTCGAACTTGACCTGTATTTTCTCATGACATATCCATATGTCAAATTTGAGTTCAATATGTGCAAGGGTTATTAAGATAATGAACGGAAACTGATGATGACGGAAGGACGGAATGACGGAACAGGGTAACACTATATGCCCCTGCCATTATATGGCGGGGGCATAAAAACACCATAGGAATTCTTTAAACAAGACACTTAATTAACAAGAAAAAACCCCAGAAAATCATTTGAGGCTATGCTCTTCCTTTGTGTAATTGATACATGTCCAGATATACCTGTAAATGACAAATGCATCAACAGAGTGGGTCTGTATGAAATTCTTTTTTCATTTTTATTCATAAACAAAATGTTTAACTTATATACAATTACACATGTATTTATGTTCAATATTTAATACAAATTTAATACAAGTTCAGAATCATTTTGGATTCGTAATAAAGTTGACAATAGAAACAATATCTGCAACAAAACAATATCAGACTGGTTATACTTACAAATAGCTTTTCTATTACGTCGCTGTAGAAGCAGTCTGTAACTACAGTATGCAGTCAGTCCTATAACAAGGGCAAGATAAGCTCCGGCACTACACACGGCTATAATTACTGTACGCATCATGTCAAAACCTTCCTCCTCCTGCAAATTCTTCTTTTTATACTCTGACCCACCTGGAAATCAACAAAAATGATTTTGGTCTTTGTAATATTCAAATATTTAATGTTCTTTTGATTCTGCAATTCAAAGTATTGTACTTTAATTAAACTTAAAGAGGTGTGTTAAATAAAGTGCAAGCATTTTACTTACATTTAAATCCTCCGAACCTTGCAAAACATCTACTAGTACCATGTCTGTCTGGACAGATATGTACATGATTTAATTCAGATGATATATAGTATTTCACCAGCAAATGCTAAAGTTTTTGATATTCTATTTTTTTTTCTGCAAATGATAATAGCTAGTAATTAAGGTCAGGTATTTCACTCTTGACTTCCAAAGTTGAAATAAATTTAATTACTGAATTATAGAAGAAACATGCGTTTATCGTTGATAAAGGCGACTGATAGGTTGACAACCACTGAACAAAGAATTTATTTAACATTGATTATGTAGGAAGCTATAAGCTTATAGACACACTCTCAAATTCATTCTTGGAACCAGCCAGTACTGAGAAATGAATGTAAAGTTTCTTGCTAAAGGAAACAATGGCTTGCCCCTGTTGTGGTTTGAACCAACAGGTCTTGAGATCCTTAGATTACTAGTAAGACTGATTTGCCACTCAGTAATGCCGCCACATAAATATTAATTATTATTGGCAATTTAAAGGCAATCTTCAAACTAAGTGCCCAAGTAAGCAACAATAAATGACAATTTAAATAATTTATTTTTCATTTATAAATATTGAGCCTATACTAAAGCAAAAATTTGACATTATTTTAATTAAGAGACACTTATGACATCTCAACAATCTGAGTAACATGATTGTACAACACAAATTTCCTAATCTACATGACAATGTATTTTATAAACCGGGATGACTATAACACATTCTTCAACTTTATATAAATCTTTAGACTTGAGCATCCAATTGCCTATAGATGCTTTTCACATAGCAATAATTACCTCCCCTGGCTGCCAGTTTTAGGGTCATTCCCACTATATCATATGCTCAGATAAAAATCTCTCAAAATAGCGTAAATGAAAAACCGCACATATTGAATCATCAAGTATGCTTAACCTATGACAGTACAGAATTTTTATAGCTTGACAGAAACATGGTTACGTTTACATTATGTTGTTGTAAGTAGATCAGGAACAATAAATTTAGATTTTTATTATAGTAAACATCAAGAGAAAACTAACTACCAGCCCTTTTTAATAACGATTGTCTAACATTACCAACACATATCTGTCAGCTCTCAACATGTGGGACTACTTTTTATGTCACTTAACTTTACAATAATAAATCTCATGCTAACGTGGGACTACTTTTTACTTCACTTAACTTTACAATAATAACTCTCATGCTAACGTGGGACTACTTTTTACTTCACTTAACTTTACAATTATAAATCTCATGCTAATGTAGTTAAAACTGCTGAGATATGTTAAGACACTGAGACATGGTTATCAGCTGGGATTTAGTTAAATAACATTCATTTTCAAATATTGTCACCCCCACAAAGAGCAAATGTTTGGGGTTTTTTTTGCGAAAATCTCAAAAAAGTGACATTTAGAGTGGGCAAGCTGTGACTTGTAAAATAAACTAATAGAAAACAAAGATGAAGCATTTCACACAAGATTATGATAGCTAGATCACGAATGAAATTTGCTTTAAAGTTCACTGAGCATAGTATTGTGATCAACACCTTTGCCCCATGGAAAGTTGGCAAAATTACTCAACTTAAAGAGAAAACAGTGGGCAATGAGCAAACGGCATCAGTTTCAACTGTTATCAGATTTGTGCATAGATAATAAACACCTTTGAGTAGATGGTCTTTAACCGTCAGAGTGCTACCTTCTACAAGGCAAACCTATAACAGTAATATCAAGCCAAGTCTGTCTGCAGTCTGACTATAGACTCCATATTGTTTAACATAAATACCTTTTAACAGCAACAGACAAGCCACAATTCAAATCCATAAAAGCAAATATATATAATTTACTATGAGATATTCATTTTCTTTTTAATTTTAATTTAATTTTCAAGACAGCACAATCACTACACCTCAGTGTAACTGTTGCCAGATGTAAGCCAAGTTAAAAGCTAAACAACAGAAGCTAAGTTACTGAATCACAGCCCATAGTTTGAATCAAGTCTTTTTTTCAGTATTTACTAACATTTAGAAAGAGGCTTTAAAAATATTATAATTCCATGCTTTGTCAAGAGCTGTTTATGTGCTGAAAACCATGACAACATGTGCCAATAGTATTCTCTAACTATAACTGGTAGTAACGCTAATTGCCAAATTCCTTTTCAATTTAGATCCTGATTATTTTAGACATTGAAATTGGTAAAGAAATATAACAGATGTATCGATACCTTTCATTTTAGGCAAAAACGAGTTTGAAGTTATTCTCATAAAACGTTTGTTACAAAGGTTTTGATAATGTTTACAACTTATATTGTATCAATTTCAAAGCAACTAAGGTTTTTCGACATAATGGGACTAGATAATGTTCACCTAGGTTTATGTACAATTTAATATAGGTCTGCAGGGAATAATAACTTGTGTTCAAATTTTCAGATCATTTGCTCATCCTGTTTTTCCAGAATCATCATTTTTATTGTGCAAAATGACCCAAAAATGAAAGTGTCGCAATGTTTTTCCTTCAAATTGGACTAAGAATCACACAAAAAATCCATTTTCAATTTAAATTTTTCTGGGGCAAAATTTTTCTTTTTTTTCCTTTAAAGGGATTTTTCCTTTTTAAAGGGTTCTTCACTTGTTTAAAGGGGAGGGTCAAAATTTTTAAAATTTTAACCTTTTTTTTGGGCTTTTTTTTTTTTTGGCCCCCTTAAAAAGTGGAGCCTCAAAAATTTAAATAAGGAAATCCCCCTTTCTTAGTCAATAAAAATGTTTTTTGAAAATTTTAAGGTTTTTTAAATTTCAACATAAAATTTTCTAACATCACATAAATATCTTTAGGGGGAAAATTTTTCATAGGGGAAAGAAAGGGACTTGAAAAGCTCAAAAAACAAGCTTTTCAAACGATGCTCTAAAATTAAAGCGATTTTGAAACTAAAAAGCATTTTTTTTATATCATGAAAAACAACAACTCTATGCCATTTCAACATCTACCTCAGTTTCCAAAATGGACTCTTCTGTTTTACAGTATACTGTGATTGGAAGAGTCTAATTGGAAATAAAAGGTGGGTTGAGATGGTTAAAAACTACTACAATATTCCTGGAAACCATTCATGCTGTAAGTTGAAGCTGATTTGACATGCAGGTATGCCAATATTATTATCTAATGTTTCAAAGCAGAAGAAGGGAGATGAAGATGCAAAATGAGGTTCCATAGTACTATTTCTTCATAGAGAAACAACAGTATTGGAATGTAAAGAAAAAAAATGATAGAAAAAAAGTGTTTTTTGGCACATCGGTCAGAAAGTCTACTTTCAGCAGACGCAAAATTATCACATAATTTGACAGTCGTTTTTTTAAATTGGCTTGAACACTCCTTCACACTTTTTACTATCAATGGCATAAAAGTCGCATATTTATGTAACACATATCCAACTGTAATTAGCATGAATGGTTTGAGAATGTTGTTGTTGTCAATGTAGTTGTTGTTGTTGTAGCGGCAGCAGACTTTTCTTTCCTTAAGATCTTGTAATAGTTTTTTAAATAATTCTCGTCTGAAAAGGAAAACACACACAGAAGGTACAAAATACAAAGAACAAGTACAAGACACATACTGTAATTATACAGTGCATATACACAGAAAATCAGTAAATTCTTTTATACATAAAAATCAAATGTTAACCTGTTTACTCTTGAAACAGAAATAAATTCTGAAATTTAACATGATGGTGCAATGAAAGTGACTTTACCATAAAGAGATGTTAGTGTTTAAAATTATTTTCTGCCAGATAGAATTGCAGCATTTCAAATGAATCGTGACACATTTACTTTGCTAAATCGGCTTACTATTAATCAGTCAAATAAATCAAATGTTTATAAAAATAATTTCATTAATAAGCTTTCACCAAATTAAATCGGTCGACTATTTCAATTTTGCTTACTAATAAACACTAACCTACACTTAGTGCAACCAGAGGGCCAATCTAAAGAATTAGAGTGAATATTGCACCATTTTATAAACCAACATTTATCTCAAACTATAAATAACTCCTTTCAATCTCAAAAGAACTTT